AAAGCAGTATGCCCTTCTTGCCAAATAAACTCTCTACTCCTGCAAAATCTTAAAGATGATATTACCAATTAATAGACGACAAAACCTGATTATTGACAGTTTTCATGTATTCCCCTTGTCACAAGTTATGACTGTTCAATTTTTTAACTATATATATACGAGCAATTGGGTGAAGTACTCCAACTAATTTCTTCACAGAAAATGGAAGTTTAAGCATCAATAATTAGTCTCAAATTAAATAAAGTCAGTCAAAATATTTCACCTTCTTCTGAGAGGTCCGTCTAAGGGTTTTTAACTCCTTGTTGGCTGCATCAATCTTCTTTTGAACAAGTGTAACTTCCTTCTTCCTTGGATCAGCTAGGGCCTCTAGTTCCTGATAATTGTAATTTACAGTTGGTTCGAGGTAGTACCAGTGACAAATTGAAAAGTCATTAGCTTTAGATACTGAAATTTCTCATCCATTTTTTTGTTGTATGCATATTAATCTGATAATTGAGCTCTAGCTTTCAACAGGCATATTCATGTAACAGGGCATGATTCTTCTCAAGCTTGAAATACCCAGAAATACATGCTATCAGAAGAGATGAAGCCCATAATTGAAATGGTTAATTGTTCGGTTAATTATAGGGCTAAAACTAAACCCATCTTTTAGCCCTTCAAAAGATAGATAAATTATTTGATAATCTCATTTAAAAGCAGTCTGGATCCGGCAAGAAACCCGACTATCAACTGATAAATTTTACAAAAATAGTTCTCTCACTATTGGGATGACAATGAGTGAAGAACAACCAATTGACATATGAAATTGCAAAAAGTAAATTGTCCTCTAAATTATGCTTCAAAAATGAAACTGATTACAACATTAAACTCCTATTATGTAAATTATCTCACAAAATCAGTAAAATATAAAGGAAATCTTAGCATATCCTTAACATAAACCATATAAAAATAAAATCCCTTTTCCACGTAAAAAAACAAAAAAGTTCTTGAAAACCCCATAAAAACTTCAATTTTCTTGTCCATAAATTTCAGGACTGAAATCACTCTTCTTAATTCCCTGCAGATCCATAAAAAAAACCCCATTAAACATGTAGAAATAAACCAAGAAAATACCTCACGGATAGTGGCCAAACGCCTATTTTCTTGTTCAATACGACCCATCTGTGCTAGAACTCTCTCCTGAACCTCCATTTTCCTCTTCTGAATCTCCTCTTCCTTAGCCATGAAAGTTGACAGAGCAGATCTTGCCATTTCCTCATCTTCTTTGGTTAAAGCACCACTCAAACTCAGGTTTTCTGAAATCTGCCCAGATTGTGTGAGTGACTGTTTGCTTTCACATGCCTCCTCTTGCTGCATCTCACTTTTCATCACTGTTTTGAATTTCATGAAAAAACCCTTATTTTTTCTTGAATATTATCTTCTCCGGTTAGCTTTTCTTGGTTTTTCTTTTGCTTTTTTTTTTTTTTGGCTTTGGGATTATAAAAGGGTCCTCCTCCTCCTGTACTTGGGCGCTTAAGAAGTATGAACACCGCAGCGCTGGCTTTGTTGGATAAAGTGATCAAGCCAATTATAGCACTAAAGCTTTATGACGAAGAAAAATATAAAAACAAATAAAAATTAAAGAAACACTGTCCACCTGTTGTGTTCTTAACGGTAAAGTCTTGTGAATTAATAGGGATAATTGTAACGGAGGTTCCAAACATTTTAAAAATATGCAAATTACACTCAAACTTTTAAATCGTATCAGATGAGGTCCAAATCTTTCAAAATCGTGTGACTTAAGTATCTCTCAGCAGTTTGAATCCAAATACACGTTAGCTGACCAAAATTCAGTATTTGACCATAATTTGACCAATTCAAAAAGGGTAAATTGGTCTTTTAATATTTAATAATAAAAAGAAAAATTTGAGGTTCTAAATATTTCAAAAATGTGCTTTTAATGTCTCAAACCTTTAATAAAACGCCTAACCCCTAATTCAACCAACTCGATCCATTGGTAGGTTGGGGAACCTCAATCACAGCTACTACTATTGGTTTTGAAGAAAATTTAATTATCTTTATTTATTTGGGTTGTACTATGTGTACATAATGGTGTATACATTGGTTTACACCCCTCCACGTGAGAGGGGTGTACACCATTGGGTATACACGTAGCTTAATTCTATTTATTTATGTTTAGTTCATTAAAAGTTATTGTTATGAAGAAATTGAGTTGATGTGAATAAGAAAAATGGGGTCAACGAATATGGAGGAAGTGAGGCGGCTACGGTGGCTGAGTTGACTATGAATATTTTTGTCAATTGAAAATATATTTAAATGAAAATTATTAGAGGTACTTTAGATGCACTTTTATTAAAGGTTTGGAAACTTCGATGCAAATTTCTCTTTTTTTAATTAATTAAATGTTAAAACATCATTTTGTCTTTTTAAAAGTCGATCCAATTATGGTCAAACGCTAACTTCTGGTTAATTAACATGCCTCTGAACGAAAACCATCCAAAGGTCCTTTCACCACACGATTTTGAAAGTTTCGGGACTTTCGTTGCTACGATTTAAATGTTTGGGTATAATATGCAATCATTCCTAATTAATATATAATTTTAAAGAATAATGTTTGACATATAAAGATATAATTACAAATTCAACGCGGATGCTCAAATGATTATCTTAGTTTTACTTTGTAAGTGAATAGTAGAACTTCAAGATTGATGTTCGCGAACGTGTCAGATGTCAACATCTTGCAGTTTCACTTACAAAAAATAACTTTTTAATGTAGAACATATTATTATGAGTGAAATATAAGAAAACTTTACTACGAACTTTATTGGACAGTTTTGAATTATTTCTTTGAATTACTTGCAAATGCAAACAAATAATTAATATGATGTTTCATTTGTTAATTCCTCGTACGTGTTAGAATATCATCTTAAAAGTTCTTTTTGTCTTTTGCTTGAGGAGAGGCCGAGAGGAAGCTTGGGAAAAAAGTTGAGTGAACAAAAGGGAAAATCTAAGCCTATGTTTGGCTTTAAACAACTTTTTATCAATATATTAATATTTTATTTACAAGTATTATATATTTTTCAATACCCATTTTTATCTATTTATAATGTAAACTGTCAATGACCAACTCTAAAACGTACTTTTAAATCTCGCTCACTCAGTTGTAAAGTTAAATTAAATTAGAGGTGTGAATAAGCAAGCCATGTTGAATCTCCAAACGAACTGTGTTATTCTCTTGTACGTCTACACCTACTAATGAATCCTCACCAAAGGTAATGAAAGTCTAGAAAACTAGGTTTTTGTATTGTTCACCTTCCATAATAATCTCCTTATACTTTAAATATTAAAGTCGAATTTTAATTTTAATCACACATTTCGTATAATTCATAAATAATAACTATTTAGCACTCATTTCTATCCCATTATAAATTCAACAACTTAGAAACTCAAACAAGCACTTAAATATGTAGTTGCTAGGTGGATGATCAATGCAATTGCATCATTTTACATGCTAATTAAGCATTAATCAATTGCTTAATTTTTGAATATGAATACCATAAATCATGAAAAAGTTAACTTTTTACCTCATTAAAATCATCGTTGGGTGTATTATAAGGTAATATTATAGATTTAATCATTCGTAACATCTTGTCAACCTTTTCTTCTAGCTTAGATGTTCACAAAAGATTATACCAAGTGACTCCTATCATATCATTGTCTCAAATTCATTCTTTGGAAGTAGTTAACCCCCCCCCCCCCCCCCCCCCCCCCCCCCGCAACCACAAATTTTATCAAAATTTACTAAAATATAATTTTTACCGAAACTAAATTGGCCTTAAAAATCCAACGAATAATGAGAAAACTGTTATAAAATGATTAGATGGTGTTGAATGAATATTTAGCCCCAGTTTGGCTCCCTTTTATTGAAATTAATTTTCAGTCACACATTCCATGGAACCGTAATTTTTATCAATTTTTTAATCACTCATTTTATCAACTTTTGTCTAGATGATAATTTTCTTGTAGAAGTTTATATCTTGATCAGTTTGTAATTCTTGTTGAAACTATATGTAAGTCCTTTACTATAACGAAAGAGACAAGGGTTTTTTCCATTTTTTTTCTTTTCTTCTTGTTTTATTTAATTCAATATCACGTTATTGGTACAGTTCTTTAAAGTGGAAATTACACACTTCCCTACTTTTGGAGATCTAAAT